CTGGCAACAGGTTTGTCCAGTGTGAACAAGTAGTGCTAATAATGTCCATCATGAGATACACACAGTCTCCAGGGAAAATGCTGGAAAATTGGAGAAAAAAGGGACCATGACCAACAAGTCTTGTGGCCTTAACTGCAAAGCACCAAGTTATCTTCTGGGCTAACAACAGGGGAGCAAGTCAGGCTGCTTCCTAACAAGTCTTCCCTTCCAGATCCAGTGATTTTTCCAGCATCATCCCTGAGACGTGGCATTTAAACATTGCTTTTTCAAGTACTCATAGTCTGTAGAAAATCTGGAGTGGGTGCACTGACCTTGCCCTCCATCCCATGGAGGTGGTGGCTGCCCCAACCCTGGCAGTGTTCAAGGCCAGGCTGGATGAGCCTTGAGCAACCTGACCTAGTGAGGAGGTGTCCGTCACTGCCCAGGGCAGAGGTTGGGACTAGATGATCTGTAAGGTCCATTCCAACCCTTAAATTCTGTGATTCTCTGTTGTCCTCTAGTGAAAAATTGGGATTTAACGTGATTACATTGGCAGAAAGTTGTCAAAGGTGTAATAATGTCATGTTGACCAATGGAGTCACTCAGCAGGTCTTTGTGGATGCTGTCTAGATTCGCATAGTGCTGAAGGAATGGGCCAAGGGTTGTCACAGTTAATAACTCCATGGGTGTTTAATCCTCATTAGGGCTGTAAGTCACTTTCCAGTTCTGCTTGTTAAGTCCACTTCTCATTAACTGAGTCTGTGCTCAGGCACTCAGGTCTAAACCCAGCTCTGGGCACACTTCGCTGCATTTTTTGCAGTAGTGACCCAGAATAGGTTGTGATCTCCGATATTTGTGCTTTAAAGGGCATTTTTTTTCTATGAAAAAAAATGGTCTTTGGGTTTTTCTGCCTCACTTTTCTGGAGAGGAGCATGTGGTGCCTCCTATTTTGAATAATGGCAGCAGCAGAAAACCTTAGCTCAGAGTTTCAGACCTCAGATGAGTGCAGTGGCAGGAGCAAGGATCCTGCCCCTGCGCTGGGGTGCAGGAGTGATGCCACGGGGCCAGCAGCAGGCAGAAAATGTGCTCTGTGTGTATGTTTAGTGACTTTGTAATCTTAGATAATTTACTGAAAACATACAAATGTGTTTTACAGAGACTTCTAATTTGAGCAAATTTGGGTTTCTTAGATTATATCTCTTCCCATGTCTAAAACACAGGCTGTTGCTGCTGGAGCTGTGTCCTTGCTCCAAAACACTTCAAAGAGAGGGTTTAAGTCTTAAGTCATCTTCCCCTTGTTCCTTTTGGCAGATGTTTCCACAAGGTTATCTGTTTTTAAGGCAGCCTAAATGCTGATTGTCACAGCTTTCAGAACAATTAATCTGGGAATTAAATCTGAAGAACCCCAAATATCTTTTAGGTGAGGATCCTAACAAAAGTTGGCCAACCCGACCAGTGCAGTTCTGGGCCCCTCAGCTCAGGAAGGATATTGAGGTGCTGGAGCAGGTCTGGAGAAGGGGCTCGAGCACAAGTGCCATGAGGAGAGGCTGAGGGAGCTGGGGGTGTTCAGCCTGGAGAAGAGGAGGCTCAGGGGAGACCTTATCACCCTCTGCAACTCCCTGACAGGAGGTTGGAGTCGGGTGGGGGTTGGTCTCTTCTCCCAGGCAACCAGCAGCAGGACAAGAGGGCACAGACTCAAGCTCTACCAGGGGAGGGTTAGGTTGGATATCAGGAAGAGATTTTTTACGGAGAGAGTGCTCAGGCATTGGAATGTGCTGCCCAAAGAGGTGTGGTGGATTCACAATCCCTGGGGGTTTTTAAGATGAGACTGGATGTGGCACTTAGTGCCATGGTCTAGTAACCATGGTAGGGTTGGACTTGCTGATCTTGGAGGTCTTTTCCAACCTGGTTGATTCTATGATTTTAGCACATAATAAATAATACAGAGATCCTTTCTAGCCTGATAAGCAGAAACCTATGGATTCAAACCTTGTCTTCAGCTTATTCCTTGACTCATGTGTTTGATCTGTCTTGTTTTCACATCAGCAATATCTTTGTGTGGGTGCAAGATGTTGTGCTCACTTTGATCCCCAAGAGATTTGTTCTGGCATTGCAGCAGCTATTTTTATTTTGCTTTGTGAGTGAAATAAACATGGTCTGACAAGTGTCACCATGGTCCAGATCTGCCTAAATGTCACATAATGGGACTTGCAGAAGAAGCAAGAAGGTGCAGGTAATGACCTGAAGACAAACCATATGTGATAACAAGAAGGTGTAGGTGATGACCTGAAGACAAACCATATGTGATATATGCTAGATATGCCAGAGAATGTAATTCATTTAAGATATATAGGATAATATAGGAATAAATAATTCAAAAAAAAAATACAGGACAAAATCTTGTTTTAAATGCTCTGCTGCGGTTCCTTAATGTGAAAATCAATGATATTCACTGATTATCCTCAGATTAGGTAGTTTGATATTGATTTAGGGTAATGAGAGGCTTTTTCTATAGTGTAATGTCACCCAGGCTCCATTCTAAAGAAGAAATATTATACTGAAATGAAAAAAATAATCACAAAAAAAACCCAAAAACCCACCTCCTTAAACCTTGAGTCATTTAAAATAGATTCATATATAAGTGGATGTTGCATGAAGGCAAAGTGCTGTTTTCTGCTCTTCAACCAGTTAAAAATAGCTTGTTTTAGAGCGCTGCTGATGGTTTGGGTGCCATGGGCATTTGGTACAATGTATGTTGGATACCATGGACGTTGGGTGCCATGGATGCTGTGCCATGGAGAAAACCTGGAAAAGAACTACTCACAGGCTTCCTAATCGTAATTCCCAGTTGAGGATTATCTGGATTTGTCAATACAACACAGAAAAGAAATCAGCTCATAAGGAGCCAACAAATTTTCCAATGAGATCCATGTGTAGGTGTCCTCCACCCACCCTATATTCTCCATACACTGCTTTGCCAGGAGTTTCCTACCAGCTCTTACAATGCAAACATCACTTCTAAAAGTTTCTATTAAAGAATTTGAGATCTGGGCCCTTGATTACAGTTTTGGGTTGCAAGGAAAGCAGCTTTCCATGGGCTTCCAGCTTGCCGTATAGCCAAGCCCATCTCAGGAGGAAGAGCAATAGCTTATAGCCCACCCTCCACATCCTGAGGAAAACTGGGCAGTGCTGGGGTGGTGCAGGCTAAGGGTATCCTCATTTATTGCAGGGAAAAAAGCGCAAAATTCAGGGGTGAAGTCCTGCACATCCCTCTTAGTCTCTAATAAAAGGAGAATGAAAGTGTGGCAATATAAACTCATATGTGACAGTATAGAGGAAATGATGACGTTCTTTGTTGGCCTCAGATAGAAGTGGGTTTTGTTTTTAATTGCACATTGGAGCAATTAATTGGGCTGGTTTACACCAGGACAAAGCGTTAGGGTAGTGAGAAACATTTCTGGAGCTTGGCCTTCATCTTTCCCCAGAGACTGGTTTTTCTTGTGGGATAGTGGTACTGATTGTCTTCTGGCTTCATCCAATCAAAGAAATGTAGATGGAGCATGGGGATAGAAAATTGGGCTTGAAATCTTCTCTTAAGCACTGAGGTCTTGCTCCGTGTTTGGGGAAAATGTCAACAACAGCAAAAAAACCCAAACAACTGAAGTTGCTTGTAATAAAACCAGCAAGAAACCCTCCCCAAAACCTTTTCATCAGTAAAGGGAAAGACAGGCAGTTAGTGGGAACTAGAGCACTTTGTGCTTGGAACTGCCAGATGCTTTCCAACACTTATTGGAGAACTCAGACATTTCAAGAGCTCATGCTCAGCCTTTCAAAGTGCTGTTCTGGTCTGAGCTACAGCAAAATCCTTTCAGTCCTGTTGCTCATATATTTTCACCATGCACTTGTTTTCAGTTATGACAAGGTTTTTGGGGGGTGAGGGAGTTGTTCCTTGTTAATTATTGTGATGTTGTTTAATTGCCTTGCAGTGTTGTTTATCTGAGAGCATTTTATTGCAGCCAAGCAGTGGTTAGTGGCAGGCAGAGGCTGTGAGCACCCTCAGTCATACAATCACAGAATCACTCAGGCTGGAAAAGATCTCTTAAGACCATCAAGTCCATCCATTCCCCCAGTACTGCCGAGGCCACCACTAACTCTTGTTCTCAAGTGCCACATCTACACAGCTCTCACATCCCTCCAGGGGTGGTGACTCCACCACTTTCCTGGGCAGCTGTTCCAATGCCTGACCACCCTTCCTGTGAATAAATGTTTCCTAATATCCAATCTAAACCTTCCCTGGCATGGACCATATTACTCCCTTCTCCTGTTCCAAGTGGAGAGGAAGAAGAAGAGAGATCGTGTACTAGGTTATTTGCTTTGCAAAGCATTGGCAGAACAGGTTGTGGTCACACTACATGATGCTATCTCCAAAAAACCAAGGAAAAAAGAGGTGGGAATTAGGTGATAGGAGATAAATGATGCTACATGAGCTTTATTCTTTCACTTGGGGTCAGTGAAATGAGGCCACTGAGATGATGTTCCTTGAAGGGAGAGTTGGTGAGAAGGATTTAGAGGCAACGCGTGACAAGCCACTGATTTGTTACAGTTCAGGGTTTAATTGGAATAATTATGTGTGAACCTTCTGTTTCCTTTTTTTATTCTTCTACAGTGGCTAAAATGAACTGAAGTATAGCAGTCATGGCTGGTGCCATAAGCTTTTTAGGTGATTAGTATTGGTATTAGTATATTGATTTTCTTTCCTTTTGCCAGCAGGGAGAGGATTTATGATGTGATCTCATGTATCATCCCCTTGAATGCACCAGAAGAAACAAGCCAAAGTCAGGGGCACAGATTGTAACCAGCTCCTAGTGACATCAGGACTGGTGGTATATGTGCCCTGAATTAAAATAGTAGACAAAAGTTTTGGCAAGGGAGAAATATGAACGTTGGACGTGGGAGCCTGAGAAGCAAAAGCCATTTTAGTGCAGAGCAGGAATCACTTCTAATCACCTTTTCTCTTTCAGGCTGTGACTGTGAGAAACTCCATGGCCAAATCATTGTACAGTGCCCTGTTCGACTGGATCGTGTTCAGAATCAACCACGCACTCCTCAACTCCAAGGACATGGAGGAAAGCACCAAGGTAACATCTCACCAGCTCTTTTAGCTCCACCTTTGTGTTTTTAAACTAGATAACTATGCCATAAAACTTTACCCAAGATCATATCAACATGTTGTTAACAGAATGTTAATTTTTCCTCCCTTCATAACTGAGTTTGTCATTATTTGAAGTTACTTTTACTGAGCTGAGAAGGCCAAAGCTCCTCAAATATTCTCTACTCAATGCAACCAGGGAAAACATTTTGTTGTAGCCACAAAAGCCTCTTCCCCCACCCCCTCCAGGAGCAATGCCAGAAAAGTTTTCTCCTTGTGTGTAAAACTAGAGGACCATGGATAAATGGGATAAAAGGGAATTCTTCCTCACAAGAGGTTCTGTGATGAAGTTGCTCCATGAAAATAATTAGAAATGGTGAACAAACTGTGTGTCTGTAGGTGCTGAGGTGGCACATCTATAATGGGCAGAGTAGTGAATTTAGGGACAGCTGGAGGGAAGGGATGGGACATCCAGAGGGACCTTGACAGGCTTGAAAGGTGGAACAATGCAAACCTCATGGAGTTTAACCAAATGAAGTGCAAGGTCCTACATCTGGGCTGTGGCAATCCCAGGCACAGCTACAGGTTGGGTGGGGAAGGAATTGAAACCAGGCTGAGGGAGTTGGGGCTGTTCAGCCTGGAGGAGACTACGTGGAGACCTCAGAGCAACTTTTCAATATCTGAAGGGCCTACAAAGAGCTGGAGAGGGACTCTGTGTTAGGAACTGCAGTGACAGGACAAGGGGTAATGGGTTCAAATTGAAGGAGGGAAAGTCTAGTTTAGATGTGAGGAAAATGTTTTTCCCTGTGAGGGTGGTGAGACCCTGGCACAGGTTGCCCAGGGAGGCTGTGGCTGCCCCAACTCTGGCAGTGTTCAAGGCCAGGCTGGATGAGCCTGGAGCAACCTGATGTAGTGAGGAAGTGTCCCTGCCCAGGGCAGGAGATTTGAACTAGATGATCTGTGAGGTCCATTCCAACCCTTAAATTCTATGATTCTCTGAAATGGTCCTGATGGGAAGAGTGAAGCCAGCATGGTGCTGTACCACCTTCCGAAAGACCTGATGGAAGGGATGACATGAGGTTTCCTGCCATGGCAGTGGCTGCATGCTGTGACCCAGGATGTCCTCTCCCAAACATCTCATGTATTCATCCACACTCATTGCTCTGACCCCATAATCCGTGGGTGTAGATGTGTCCATGCACACACGCGCTCACAGCTTGCTAACTCCCCTTGGCTTGGAAATTTTGGGCATGGTCCAACAGCCTGTGGGTTTTTTGGGGGGGTTGTGCATCCAAACTAAAGCCACAGCTGCCAAAAGGAGGATTGTTGTGCCAAGCACTAACATTACGTTTGGGTTATGGCGTAGGAGCAAAGTTGCAGAGTCATTCAGCATAGTCACTCCCTTATTTAATTCCGTGGAAATGTTTGCAGAGCATAATTACAGCCTGGAAATAAATACATGCCTATAAAATTTGGTTATATGCTTTTCTGACAAAGAAAGGTGGTTAAAGTGATAACATCCAATGTGTCTTCTGTCTGCACAGTCTGCCTCTCCCTCTGCTTAATATTTCACCAAAAGTGTTGTGTTCTTTTTTTTTTTCCCCAAGTCATGAGAAGTTTCATCAGGGCTGTCAGGGAAAAAAAAGAAAACCTCACACTGTTTGTGTGTTCAGTGAAGCAGAAAGAAAGAATTTGTTTTGACAAGGAAATGCATCTCAAATGTTAATTATTTTTTCATTAATGACTTTGAAAACTTATCATCTGTTCTGTAATATTTAAACACCAAGTCAGACTAGCACACTCTTGCATGCTTAGTCAGCATGTCTGTAAGAGCAGGGCAGCACCATAGGTGTTTATGGGCCATTAAACTTTGCTTCCCAACCTCCAATCTCAGCAGGTAAAAGCCAGAACTGCCCAAATTCCTG